GGTTCTGTTGGTGTGATGAGTGATCTATCGAGATGGTCCGTTGCGAAGAGAAGTTTTGAGAGTCGGCACTTTCCTACCAATGAAGCCCGTTCAATTTGCAATTTCAACTTTTTGCGTTTTGTCTTGTGGCCCCGGGAGCTGAAGCTCAAGCTTGAGCTTGGCAATGAAGGCTGGATCTGAAGTTTGAGCTTGTTCTCACACCCATACGTTTCACGGCTATTCAGTCTTTTCAAGTTTGAGAGTACGGTTTGGGTTTTCAGGACTTCCCCAAGGCGACTAGCGACCACACCACACGCCCCCCCTCGACACCCACTTGATCGACTTCCCGCATCACCCTCACGGACGGCTAGAGAAGCATTGTACGTGACGTCGGTTGATCAGCGCTCCGACGCGTATTCGCGATAGAGGCGACCGGGTGACAGGTTTCCTCAACGAGTTTCGCGATCTGCGACAGAACTCTGTGAACTCTGCTAGTCACGACGGGGAACGGCCGACTGTGAAGGTCTCCCTGGCATTTCCATCATCACACATGGTAGTTCCTTAGGCTTCTTGGTCACTGGCGTCGTGAATGAACTTCCATATGAGATCCCCTTCAACGTCGAAGAACCGGGTTTTATTATTTGAGTGATTTCATCGCGGGTGCTGCAATATCCCGACGGTTCCATATGCAGGACAAGACTTCGTGATGAAATCATTGAAATGACAAACGCTCTTGTTGTATAACAAGCAGATTGTTGAAACAGACTCAGAGCTGGTACACTACCTCTACATTCTCATACACGCCGTAATTGCGCTCTACAACTTGGACTTTGGTTCCTTTTCGTCATCGTCCTCCTGTTGTTTCAATCGAACGACACCCTATATCAAAAGAAGTCAGCACGCATCACACATCAAGGGTGAGAAGAAAAGAACTAAAACAGCGGCAATGAAGGGGCAACTCACCTCCTGAACACAAGTCGCCAAAAGCGTCCCATCACTCGCGAAAATCTTCTGCAGCACTACGCCCCGTCCGTCGCCGCTCCAGGGGCTCTCCATCTCGGTAAACATCCACTCGTCCGCCCTCACCCGCCTCGGCTCGTGGAAGTAGATGGAGTGGTCCAAGCTGACCATCATGCCCAGGTGCGGCCTCGTCTTCCAGTACTCGATCCCGCCGGCCTCGGTGTTGCCCTCAAACTCGTTGAGCCGCTCGACCTGCTCCCGCAGCTCGGGCGGCAGGTCGTCAAACTCCTCGGGCTTGAAGGGGAACCGCCACAGCCTGTGGATCCGCCCGACGGTGCCGATGAAGTAGCTGTCCGACATGTACGCCAGCGCGTTCAGGTGCGCCTGGTGGCCGCCGCTCACCGAGATGCGTCCCCGCGCGCGGACCCAGTTGCGCGATTTCAGCTCGTCGAGCCTCTTGCCCTTGTCCCTGGCCCCGACGATGGAGATGCGGTGCGTCTGGAAGGGCGAGTGCGTGCTCCACTCGGGCTCGCCCTTCCAGTTGTCCGGGGGCGGCTTCACACCGTCGGGCAGCGGTGCCGCGTGACGGACCTGCTTCTCGCCGCCGCTGCCCTCCTTGACGAACGAGACTGTCGTCGTGAAGATGCAGCGCCCGCGCTGGCGGGCCTGCACGGTCCGCGTGGCGAAGGAGCGGCCGTCGCGGACGCGCTCCACGTGGAAGAGGATGGGGATCTCGGAGGAGCCCGCGAGGAGAAAGTAGCAGTGGCACGAATGGAGAAAGAAGTCGTTGGGCACCGTCTTCTGCGCGGAGGCGAGGCACTGCGCGATGACGGCGCCGCCAAAGATGCCGCGGGCGCCGGGCGGGTGCCACGGCGTGCGCGTGTTCGTGAAGATGTCCTGTTTACGATGTCAATTCATGTTCACTCTCTGACATGTACGCTTGTGTCATTGGCAGACACGTGGCCGCCGACGACATCGGGTGGGATTCACTCACCGGACCAAGCACGCCGAGCTCCGTCACCTCTAATACGTTCTCCATCGGACTCTTGTTCGGGTCATCCGGCGGGGGCCGGATGATTGTTGATCTACCTGATGCCATTGTGCCGGTGTATTCTTCTGTGCAAAGATTTGGCTCTAAATCGATTGCCGTCTACAGTCTTCGATGATGTTGTTGGTGAGCTCGCCCTTACGCCCCGAAGAAATCTCTCTCCTCCAAACACCAAGTCTTGGCGTTTCGCAAGGCCGAACACGTCCGCTTCTGTGCGCTGCGCCTTTCAATCTATCCCTCGAAGTGTCTGTGAACTAAATGAAGAAAAGGAAGGTCTGAAAGACGAAGATGAACGACACAATGGGGATGAGAAAAGGATTCGCTTGTGAATGAACCCAGGAGCCCGGATTGAGATGCGCGACCAGGTCCCCTAAATGTGACATCAATTGGGGTCGTGGCCACTGGGCAAGGCAAGGGGGGGAAAGTGCCGAGGTCCAAAAGCGGAGCGTTTTGATTGGATGTCACTGCTGCGCTCAGGGGATCACGGACCGTGGCGAGTCGTGGGCAGCTGTGAGTTTCCAGCGTCTGCACCTGCTGCAGGAAACGTGCCGCTCTCCACCCGAGCTCACCGAGGTGCTCCCGGGATTTGGTGAGTGGCTCCCCAAAGTCCCCCACCTCCCACGGGCGCCGGGTGCACACGCCGCCCTCCACTCCAAGCTCCGACCGGTATCACAAGCTTCTTGGCGGGGCAGGTGCCCAACAAGGCTCGACTGCACCTGTCGTCAAGGGGAAGAATCAACTCAGGACCGGGCTACAGTCTGTACGGAGTAGATACTGCCATTGAGGAGAGGTAGAGAAGATCGCAGGGGTCATGTGCAAATAAATACCAGAAATGGTAGCTCCGCGACGTACGATGTCCTCCCCCGATGGCCGTAGATAGACTCCCTCACATATTACTTTACACATTGCAATCGTACGGTCTACCATTCTGATGCGACGCGTTCCTCACGGTTTGAAGACCAGACAGTTGGACGGTAGTTTGATTAATCGGTCCAAACGGAGAGTATCTGCGGGAGCGCTTCCGGTGTCTCTCCAGGTTCACTAATCGTCCCGTGCCGCCGCTTGCCTCGGCTCTAGAACTTCAAGCTGCCTATTGCAAGCAAGTCATCGGGGGAGTGTAAGGAATGCGTCCTATGTCTGCATTTTACCCCAGCGTTACCATCTTGACCATGTTATCCAATAGCAATATCGGCACGCCATCTTAAACGATTAGCAAGGTACTTCAAGAAGTGAGACGAACTCGTTGACCGTGCCCATGCGTACTAAAATTGTGCCCTGCATGTTCACATTGATTTCATCTTCATATATCGGAGGCAAGATCTATGAACAGGGCTCTTGAGACGTGACCTCCAGCCGACGAGACGTTTTCATGCCACTATTATCGAAAGGGGGTATTTAACACCCACTAAACAACCCAACGTCTACCTCCACAACCGCAACTGTTCGCGATGGAATGCTTTGTTCGACCCTATTTCTGACGATAGCGAACGCAGATGATCTTCTTTCCTTTTACTTCTTCTCTTCATCTTGTCAAGATGATCATTTAGCCAGCCGTACCCCCCCCCCCCCTCCCCCGTCACTATACCCAGATAGAAAGATGACTACCACATGTTCTGCTCCGTTCTCACTTCCCACGTATTCATAATCAATTACTACGAGTAAAAGGGTTGACCGAACGATGTGAGATGTGCTTTTCTCACTTGGCTACACTGCGTGGTTTCGTATACCAGACTGCTACCCTTCAGATCACGAAGGCGATTCAGCACGCGAACGAGAGCATACCGTAGCTAGAGACAAGCTACTGTTAGCCCCATTCACGCCGCTCAATTGAGCTGGAGAAAGGAGTTCGTCAGCGGGCTCTAGGTAGGATGTTTTATATCTTGGACACCACGTTCCACAGCGCACCATGTATCCGTATGTGAAAGACGTAGGCTACAAAAGCTATTGCAGTATCACACTAGCCAAGTTACACCTCTCTGACTGGGCGGTTCAGTAAAGTACCCGAGTCAAAGAGCTTTGTATCTCGGTTTGAAGGCTGAGTGTCGATAGTTGGATCCTAGCTATAGAGGGTAATTACAGGTCCAAGTGAAAGTCAGCATGCAGTCACCTAGGTAGGCAGACACCTCAGATAGCCGCATCTCACCCTTTCGCTCATATTACAGGCCAAATACGTCAAAAAGAGACAGGCCTATCAGCTACAAGTACTTGTTTCCTAGGCAGTAGATGATGGTGAAGAGGATGGCCATAATGGAAGAGATGCTGCTCCTCTAGCCGGCCTGAAATGCACCAGTTTACGGAGAAGCATGCCTCAGAAGCGAAAAAGAATCGCCTGAACAAGACTTATCAAGCGTGATCATTCGGGTGCCTATATACATACCTTTGCTACAGAAGATGGTGGGTAAGAGCGTCCTACCCAGTCGCGCCTTCCGTGACCTTAGTTGTGTACCTTGAGAGACAACAGATTCCATGAACCCATTAAGCAAAATTTCCAGCCGCGGCCGTTCAAACAACTAGATCCTTTTCCCCAAGGTACTTGACTCTTCGCGCATTCACCCTACCTTACCTACCTCCACCGTACCCAGACCTCTCTCAGCTTCCTCTTCAACAAGCCGTATCCGTTATCGCTAGCCTCATCTTTCCTAAGCCAGACCGTCTCACGATCGGACTCGTTAAGACACAATTACATCACACCATGGCCTCATCTAGCATGAGCTAAACGCCCTTCCAGACTTCACAATAATAAGGACTACACATACGGACATGCCGAGAACGAGCGATTGCTTATTTCAATATCATCTATGTTACATCATTTGCATCCTGGCTCTCCGACATGCAGTGCAGGCGGGATCTACCTTTTCCCGGCAACAGTCCACCGAAAGCCGCTCGGCCCGTCCGCAAGACGCACTACCTGCTGCTGCGGCTTCTTGTCCGGCACAACTTGATACCCGCTGCTGGCCCCACCGATCCCGCCTCCACTGACAGAACAAACACCTCCTAGAACGACGCGAACCTCCTATTTCGCGTCCTCGTAGATGGGCTCCAGACCCTCCCAGGCCTGCTGCGGGTTCCCTTCGGGACCGGCCTTCTCTCTCTGCTGCCAGTACTTGCCGTTGAACTTCCAGTACTCCTCACCCGTAATCTCGCACGTCGTCTTCTCGAACCACGCGGGCCGGAATTCGATGCCCTTCTCCTCGCGCTGCTTTCTTCTCGCGCGCTGCGCCTCCTCCAGACGGTTCTTCTCCTCTGCAGCAAAGTCGTACTCTCCATCCTCCATGGCGCGCTGATCGGGACGAAGGCGAGAGTCCGTGGGCGGCAGCCAAGGCTTGAGCTTGTCGTCGATGTGGTTGAAGGTGAGCACGAAGGGGGTGAGGTTGAAGGGAATGCCGGGCGGGCGGGGGTTGGCCTGCCAGATGAGGAAAGCTTTGTTAGGGTCGGTGATGCTGCCCTTGTGGAGCGAAGCCGAGTCACCAGGATCCTCGACCGTAGCTTCGTATCCAGGCGTGAGACGAGCGTAAAGCTTCGAGTTCCATCGACCGCCCATGCTGTATCGGACTCTTCCATCAGAGTCGAGGACCTTGCCGGAAATCTTGTATGCGCTAGACGCCTTCCAGCCACGCGGCTGGAACTCGATCTGGCACACCTCGCCAGTTGTCCAGTTCTTGACCTCCATGGGTCCATAGTTGTCAACAGTAGGGTTGCCAGTGATGATGCCAATGACGGATGTGGTGACCTTTCTCCAGGTGTAAAGGTCTTCTTTGCCTCCAGACTTGGGTCGAAGCTTCAAGAACCACGTTCCAAGAGGGTTGGCGTCAAAGGACTTGCCGTAGAACTTTGTCTTGACGGCCGATTCACCCCAGTAGGTCCAGTGGGGTGATTCAGCCCAGGCGGCACCCACTGGAGGATGGTGAGAAACCTGCTCAATAAAGAAGCGGTAGTTCTTGTCCGGCCGGACGTATTCAAAAGTCTCTCCAAGAAGCGGGTTGAAGGGTTTCGCCACACGACCGACAGTGGAAGCGTATTCACTAGCAGCAAAGGCAGCCACATAGATGAGACGTTCAATCGAGTCAGATCTCTCCACAGCTTGGTCCAGAAGGTCGACGTATTCCATGTCCTCACCAGCGCGGTATAACAGAGAGGTAGGCTCGTTGAATGACACAGGCAAAGTCATCTTGGTCATATCCTTGCCAATCATGGACTTGAGAATGCCCTGCAGACAGATTAGCAAACCGGACATACATAGCGCTTGGAAATGGCGTAGCTTACCCAAAGTGAGATCTTGGGCCGATCATCAGCATCCATCTTGAGACGACTTCTGATGCCATTCTCGTAACCCTTGAAGGAGCTGCTGAGATCTGTGCCACCAGAAACAACAAGTTGCTGTTCCTCCTTCTCCTCGTGAGGAGTAGGCACCGCATCGGCATGCGGCAAGTGGCTGACCTCAACCTCTCCAGCATCAACTGCATCAAAGAACTCATCCTCGTCATCCGACTCAGAGTCAGATAGCTCAAGCGAATCAAGGACCGTCTTCTTCCTTGTCAAGGTCCTCTCGGGCGCCGCTGGCGGGGCTGCGATATTCGCGTCATCGGCACCGATGGCGGCCTCAACGGTCGCAGTACCATCCACCTTTCTGTCACCCTCGAGGTCCTGGCTAGTGGCCGTTGGCTGCTCGTTCATAACTTCGCGGAGCGCACGCTTGGCGGCTTTGCGCTTCTGCTCAGCCTGGTCGACACGCTCCTCCAGGATCTCCTGCTCCTTGGCAACCTTGGCCATGCTCTCCTCCCACATGCGGCGCATGTCGATTTCGCGGTCCAGCCGGTACTGCCAGTAGGCATCGCGATCCTTTGAAATCCGCATCAGGTCTCCGATAAGTCCCGTCAGACTCCTGACAGCAGCATCGTAGGTTGTGAGAGCCTGAGTGACCTTGGTGTCGGAAACAATCGTATTCGGGTTCTTAGAGGCCTCGGAGAGCATCGCAGCATTGACAGCTGAAATGGTATCGAGCTGTAGCTTGGCCGACTGAGCTGTGATGCTGAAGGCGTCCTTGCTGACAGAGGGCTCTTCACGACTACTGACATCCTCAAAGTCGTCATCGTCATCGTCATCGTCTGGTCCATGGTGCCCTCTTGTTACGCGAGATTGACCCGCATCTGTCGCGGCATCGGCAAAGTCGTCATCGTTGCTAGCGACGGTGCTTGCGCCAGCAAAGTCGCTTCTGGGGACGGACATCTTGCTGTGCGACATAGTCCTGGGGATCTGCACACTGCTTCTTCCATCGGCCACGCTGGCGCTCTCGCTCTGAGCCTCGTTGATGGACAGCTCTGGCGACTTTCCAGACTGCTCTGCCTTTGCCTGCCTCAGCAGCTCGGCGCCGCGAGCGCGCTGGCGCTCTTCCTCCTTTGCCTGGTCCTTTGTCCACTGAATGGAGTTGTTAAGGGCCCAGAACCAACGCTTCGCCTCGACCTCGTGGTTGGCCTTGAGGGTGTACTTGACTGAAGACTTGCCGATAATCTCGAATTTGGTCTTCTCGTCGGCGCTCATATGCAGCTTGGCGATGCGCGTGTTGATGGCGCCACGGCAAGCGGAGCCGGCATCGTCCTGGTGCTTGTAGTAGCTCAGAACGCCGTCCTCGAGAACGAACCATCGAAGCTGGTATCCCTTGCGGTAGTTGGTCCACTTCTTCAGGTAGCCCTTCATCTCTCGCGCCTCCTTTCCGGCCACAGGATCGGCAGAGGCCGCGGCTCCAGCGCCCTGTGAAGCCGCCTGGCCGAGAACGGCTTTCTCCTGGATACCTCTCTGAGCCGCAACGGCAGCGGGGGATCGCTTGAGCATGGCGCGTGTGGTATCGTCCTTTGTCACATCCTGCGGAAGCTTGCCCTTGCGGTCCCGACGGAAGGGATCGGCTCCGTGGAGCAGGAGGACCTGGATGAGTTGGGTATTCTTCTTGCGGGCGGCCTCGTGGAGAAGGTTTCCGCCGGCCTGGAGGGTTGTTGGTTCGGTAACGAATTCTGTGCTGTTGATGTCGAGAATCTGCTTGAGGCGTGACTCCTCCAATACAGTCTCGAGAGCCTTGTAATCGTTCTGCGCAATCAGACCCTGGATCTGTCTAACCTTGTTCTCGGCAAAGATGGATCGCGACAGCTGGAGAAGCTGGAAAATATCGGGGTTTCGAGCGACGTCGATGGGCAATCGGCCCTGGTAGTTGGCGATGGCATCGTTGATCTCCTTCTGGTCCAGCAAGAGCTTGACAACCTGGGTTCGGCCCTGGACGGCAGCTACGTGCAGCGGGGTATTTCCATCCTTGTCTCTAGCGTTGATATCGATGGTCCCAGCGCCGTCAGACAGGACGTACTCGACAACGGGGTATTCGGCGCATTGGATCGCAAGGTGAAGCACGGTGGTGTCGTCGAGGCCGGTGCCGCTGAGGGTATTGATGGAGGAGATGCTCGTGCGGGGCCCGCCCTCGGCGGTATCCCTGATGGCCTTGGAAATGGAGGCAGTGTCGCCGCTTCGCAGGGCCTCGACGATGCGGAACTTGCGGACAGATTGCTCGAGGGAGACGCCCTTTTCGCTACCTGCGACGCTCATCTTGGATGCGGATGTAGATGCGGTTGCGGAGGGGGGGCTGTTGTGGGAAGGGGTTCGGCCCATGGAAGGGGAGATGGAGAGCCTGTTGGCCCCGTTGCCGCGGGGGACGTTTTGAGCCATGGATATGTTTGTCGCGGAAGCCGCTGTAGAAGGTGGCGACGTCAGCGGCGCACCGTCATCCGTGGTGGATGGATCTTCTTCGCTGCGAGAGTGGTTTCGTCGTAGGAGTGAGAGGGCAGCGGCCGACTTTGACCGCTTATGGGTGCTGGAGAATCAGGAGAGGGTTAGCTTTGCTGCCGCCAAGATTGGGATGCGGAAGGTGCTGTTGCTGGTGCTGATAGTGCTTCTGTCTCTTGCTGGTGCTGCTGCTGCTGCTGCTGCTGCTGCAGGCCGCCCCGGAGAGAGTGTATGGGCAGACGCCTTGCTGCTGAGGTTTATGTCGGTCCCGATGACAGGTGCAGTGGGAATGGGAGGATGGTGCCAGAAGGGATGGGAGATTGTGGATGTGTGCATAGCAGCTGGAATGCCACAGGCGTGGAGAAGACGGGAGCAGATTGAGGTGGATCATCACGTACCTATCGCCAGCGTCCGACATGTTGCAGAGCAGTAAGGAAGCTCGGCTTCACTCACACACATGAACCTAGCTGGAGCAACAGTATCCGTAAAAGGATGCTATTATGGACACCTCTGGAACGCGGGCCAGGCAAGGTTGCTTGGGTTCCCCACTTCCTCGTAAGATAGTCTGAGTTTATATGAGCGTGTCCTGGATCCCGTACTCCGTCTCTCGTGGGGAGGTAATGTAAGGTAAAGAATGGAGCAGCCGGTGGTCAAGCACAAGGGACGGGCTTGTTATCCGTATGCCGCACTCCGTAGCAAAAGGAAAAGAATGGGTAAAGAAAGGTAAGGCAGTTTATGGCTTATGCTCGCAGGAATACTGGGTACTCGGACCTGTTGATAGGTCGGCGGAGGGGTTGGATGAGGAGGAGAATTGGTGGAGGATGCTGCTGCTGAATGAGGGACTGACTGGAAGTCGGTTCGGTTGGGGGAATGTGAGACGCTTTGGTCGGCGACAACAGACAAACCACAGACAATGGTGGGGTGGGTTGGATAATGCGTACAGTAAAGCTGTGGATGTTGTGATGAATATCCGATGATACCTAGAGACAGGTAGGCATCGAGGTGAGCGGCGTGGCTGGAACCAATGGGGTGCGAATTATCCCACGAAAGAGAAGATTCCAACGTTGGAATCCCGCTGTCGTTCGTGGGCGAGGATGATGGTGCTGTTGTTGCTGCTGCCAAGTTTCCTGCAAGTCGCACGAGAACGAAAGCGAGCTGAGCATGTAGTGTACGGAGTGAGGTAGTGTGGTGTAGAAGCAAGGTGGGATGGATGGTTGGACGGGATGGATGGGTAGATGATGGTCTTCCTTCTTTCTTTCTTTCTTTCTTTCTTTTTCCTCGACTGTTCGGGATACATAGAACCTAAGGTATCTCTCTCTATCTCTCCCACTCCTCGTCCCGAGTCTGCGCCTGAATCACATAAGGCAAGGTCACCAGCTCAGGTTGTAATAAAGGACTCAAACAACCAAGGTACCGACGCTATTCCAGCATAGCCCCATTGATGAACACGATAGAACCTCGACGACTGTCCAGATTAGCGCCTAGTGTGATTTTGTGCAACAAGGTCATCGCAAATCAACACTTGGCCTGCTGTGGTGCGCCCCTCATTCTGCTTCCCCCTCCCCTCTCACTGCTCAGATTGTACCTCTCTCCCTTTCCAGATGTGCCAGGTTCCCTGCAGAAATCCAGGAATCCAGAAATGACGTTCCCGTCCTTGGAGATGGGGGGTGACGAAACCACAAGCTTGCGGCCCCCTCATCCCACCCGTGAGCTCCCAGCCAATCACATCATCATTTCTCCCCCAGCGTGTCCAGTCTTTCCATGGAAACGGACTTATTTAGGCGACACACCCTGATACCCTTTTCATGCCACCCGATGATGACACCCCTTTTGGTCATTTTTGGGGGGAGCATACGGTGGGATGCAGAGGGGTAAAGCTGTAGGGTTAGTAAGGTGGTAAGGTTACCAAGGTAAAATAACGTGTATCGTGTTTTTCAGCTTACTACCCGTGTCGTGCCCGTGGAGAGTATCTAAGGGAGTACCTATGAGCGGCGCAAACGGTCGCCGGGTACCTGTGGCGTCCGTTGTTTGAGCCACACACGAGAGCTGAAGAAAGTTAGAAACTACCTTTAGTCCATCTCCGTACACCAACCGCATCGGGGACTGATTGACCATGATCGCTCCTCTGTGTCCTTACTGAGATATTTCCTGGAAACGGCGCGCGCAATCTCTGCCGAGCGGCTCATTGCAAACCGGGCCGGAACCCAGCAAGCAAGCCCATTGAGAAATTTCCCTTGTCGCTCCCGAGATCGGTTCGTTCAGCCCAGACACGCCGATTCGGCCGAACGACTAAGAAAGAAACCTTGGGGCCTAAAGCGCATAGGCTACACCCAAAAGTCAAACATCAGGTTGTTCAAGGAACAAATAACAAATCCCAGCAACGGGCTGATTGCATTGTTTGCATTTACATGCAGAATGTTTTCTCAACGGTATGCTCTAGCACGCAATGCGCCAAACGTTTTATCACGAGGTTCTATACGCCAAGGCTTGCTTTTACATGCCTCGATTGCAGCACCATAGGTATACAAAGGAAATATTAGTCATGTTTATACATCTCGTGAACAGAATTAAAGAAATAAATGCCATATCCGTAGTAACCAATCATCAATCCCTCACACACATTAGAGCAGAAGAGCAACGGCAAGGGCAGCGAAGCCACCGACTCCGAAAGCTCCGATCTTGGCAGCTCCAGCCTGGACAGGCTTGCTGGGAACGGGAGCAGCCGTTGTGTAGCTGGGAAACCCGCCCGTGGAGGTGGGCTTGTAGTTGGAGCCGGTACCCGCGAGTGTGGAGTTGTATTTGCCAATCGTGACGGGGACAGTCAGGGTCTTGTAGATGAAAGTCGTCGAGTCATCCTCTTTGCCGGGAACAACGGGTGTTACGGTAGGCTTGGGCGGAGAAAGGCTCCCAGAAGGCTTGCTGCCACCTTGGCTGCCAGTGGGCTTGGGAGCATCGCCAGTAGGCTTAGGGGGTTGGGGCACATCGCCAGAAGGCTTGTTCCCTCCTTGGCTGCCAGTAGGTTTGGGAACATCACCAGTGGGCTTGGGAGGCTGAGGAATGTCGCCAGAGGGCTTGTTTCCTCCTTGGCCACCGGTAGGCTTGGGAACATCCCCGGTGGGCTTAGGGGGTTGAGGCACGTCGCCAGAGGGCTTGGGAGGGTTGGGGACGTCGCCTGAAGGCTTAGTGCTGCCGGGTGTCGTCTCGGTGTACGGGCAGACGGTGGTGTATGCAGGGACGACCTTGGTCGTGACTTGGCCAACAGGGCAGTTTGGTACATCAGGGGCGCAAGATGTGATGGTGTACGTCTTTGTGGTGAAGACTGTGCTGGTAACCCATTGGGGAGGAGGGCTAATTGTAGGCACGGCGACGGCGGACGACGTTGCCGTGATAGGGCAGACAGTGGTGTACCAAGGAACAGTCTCGGTGACAACCTGACCCTTGGTGCAGGGTACATCGGGCTTGCAAGAGGTGACGGTGGTGATCTTGGTGGTGAAAATCGTGCTTGTGGTCAGCTGTTCGGGGACACTGAGTGTGTTCTTGGCCGACTCGGTAGCTGATTTGGTGCCGGTGGGCTTGTCTGAGATGGACACCGTCAAGGAGTTCTGGGCAGGTCTCGTAGCAGAACCAGTAGCAGAGCCAGTGGCCTTGTTGGTGACGCCGCCAGAGGCAGTCTTTGTTGCGTCTGCTGAGCCGGTGGCGGTAGCAGTGGCGGTGTGGGAGTTACCCGCCGTGGTGGTTGGGAAGTCCTCGTCGTCCTCATCGCAAGTGTCCGAAACAGTCGCAGACTTGGTCGCAGAAGCGCTGGCAGTGGCAGTGGCGTTGGAGCTCAACGATGTGATGATTCGCGAAGAAGCAGATCCTGTGGCAGACGCCGAAGAGTTGCCAAAGAAGGTGAGTGAAGCTGAGGCCGAGGCCGAGGATGATGCGGACACAGAAGCAGACGCTGAGGCGGACACAGAAGCGGATGCCGAAGCAGATCCCGAGCCAGATGCCGATGCTGATCTAGATGCTGAGCCAGACACTGATGCTGAGCCAGTGGCCGACACGGAAGCAGAGGCCGAAGCAGAGACAGAGACGGACGTCGGGATAGAAGCAGAGGCAGAGGCTGAAGCAGAAACGGATGCCGAGGCGGACTGGCTGGAGCTCGAGGTCGCGGAGCTGGAGCTAGAGCTAGAGCTTGCCGAAGTGGTGGAAACAATGGCAGACGAGGTGCTGGTGGAAGAGATCACGGACGATGTCGAAGTCGAGATGCTGATGGTGGAGGTCTTGGCAGGGATGGGGTTGCAACCGTACTTGAGAGCATCGGCAATGGCCTCGTGGAACGACTGGCCGTTGATCTGATTGATGGCGCCACGGGTGGCATCCCAGATAGAAACACCTCCAAAGTGCGGCTTGCTCTGGTACTTGCAGATCAAGTCCTTGATCGTGGAAGGAGGAGCATAACCGTTCCATCCAGACTCGACGCTGGCGAGGACACCAATGTAGAGCTTCGCATCCTTGCTCTTGGAGGTCTGAGAAATGACCGTCTCCCAGTCGTCGTAGTTGGGAGTATCGGTGATTTGGCAGCCGGGGTTGTTGTAGAACTGGATGAAGAGGGAGTCGAATTGGGCGTTGTAGATGAGCTCCTTGAGCTGGAACCAGGTGTCTGACGTTGGGCACTGGGGAGCAGCAGAAATGTGGTAGATACCGCAGCTGCGAAGCTTCTCAACCATCTTGATCCAGGGCTTTTGGTCGGCTATTGTTGAAGTTAGTATCATAATTCATCATAAAAAGGGGCAACCTTATCAACATACGATACTTGAACTCTAGGTCAAAGTCGAAACCGTCAACAGCAATGTGCTCAGTCTCGCTGATATCAAAGGGACGAGGGCCGTTCCATCCCTGATCGTAAGGACCAAAAGTCTTGTGCAACAAATCACCAAATTCATGGCCATCCTGCTCACTGTCAATGTCGTAGCTGCAGGGGCCTCCGGTTGGGCAGTAACCACCAATAGCCAGGAGAACCTTGATGCCCTTGGCCTGGCAGTACTGGATATCCTTCTTGATGTAGTCACAGTTCATAATCAACTTGGTGTCTTCGCCAGTCTTGGGATTCTTGTAGTAAACCTCGCCGCCGCAGTGGCCGGCGAAATTGGTGCCGGGGTATCCAGCGCTGTTCTTGGGAGAGTATGTGACGAAGGATAGAGAGACGGAAGTGACGCCCGGAGCATCACAATAGCTTGAAAGGCGGTCGGTAGTCTGGCCATACTGTCCCCAGTACAGGTTGAGTCCGAGAAGTGGCGAGGCACTTGTGGTTGTCTGTGAAGAAGAATGGGCCAGGGCCGGGCTGATGACCGCGGCGGCGGCAACGAATGACTTGCTGAAGAGCATGTTTGACGTAGTAGTATTAGACAATTAAGTGTTTTGTACGTTGTTCGCAACGATTGTAAGGTG